CAAATCTGATAAACATTGTCTTTGCTGCTTTGTCCAAGTTGCTTATTCAAATGTTGATCAACTGGGTCCAGGACAGCACGCTATGGTACCCCAACTTGTTGGTTCTCATGCAGAGCCACTGATGAAGACTCTTGAGGCATAGTCATATCAACCAGCCACACATCTATCTAAAATTAGCATTGTCTAGCCCCCATTTTACTACCCTGCCACTACTGTGATGAATCTTGTCAAAAGCCTTAGTGAAATCAAGAAGATAAGGTTAATTTGGTATTATTTTATTTTCTTGATTGGTAATATGTGAAAGACATGTTGGCTTTTTATAATCACAGCTTTCTTTCCTAAATGCTTAATGAGCACTTCTAGACATTTCTGAGTATTGATATCACTCAGAAAGGTCAGTACTTCCCTCGTTCCTCTTTTCACATGTTTGGTGACATTTCTCCAGTGACATAACTCCAGTCTTACAGCACTTAAACAAAATCCAAACATTATAGAGATTATATCTGCAGGTTTCTTGATCCTTCAACCTTTCTATGTTCAATCTTTTCTCCAAGGACTTGATTTACATATCACTGACCTTCTTCATTGCCTTTCTCTGAAACTATTTCCATTTGTCTCTGTATCCATCCTAATGTTCAGTACCCAGAACTGGCCTCCATACTCCAGCTAACTGCCAGTTTTGTCTCCATGGTGACTATTGTAGTATGCAGAAGACTGGCAGGTGTCTGCAGCAATAAAATGCTCCTGGAACCCTGTTGACCAAGGCTTCCATCTGTCCATGTCAAGTTTGTCTCCCACTTTTACACCACTGTCTTCTCAGTGGAGATGCTTAACAAGCAAACTCAAAATCCCATGTAAGAGAAATATCCCGAGTCTGTGTTGTTCACCACCAGAAAGCTTTGGCTATGGGCAGTATGGAAATGAAATGAGTCCTCATGGACAACTGTGGAATTTGGCATTCAGTCTAATGAAAATCTCTCTCCCTGTTTCAGAACAAATCCAAAACATTTTCTGACTCTTCAAGGGGGCAAATGTCAAATTGATGTTGCAGATAATTGTGAAGAGCTGTGTCGCCTCCCTCTGACAAACACATGCCTATTTGTTGACTTGAATTTGGTCTTTTCAACTTAGATTGGATTCCTCTCCCTGGCCTGTTTTGGAATTTTCATTTTGGATCCTCTTCCCAAATAGAGTGCATTGTGCTGTTGGTATATCAGATTAAATAATGCCCTCCCCCATACACACGCAGAGTTGTGGTTGGTACAGAGTTGTGTCATATATTTTTGCATTGTCTGTAGTTTAACATATTTTCACAGGCAAAATTAACTTTATGGAGGGAAATATGGAAATTGGCAAGAAAGTGTTTGTTTGATGAACCTGTATGCACTGGATAGTTTTTACTTTGGATCAGTTTGTCAGTACAGATGATAATTTTTTGCCATTCTCTGCTTTGCAAGCTAAACATGTTCTGATTTACAGGCTCTTTTTTTCAGCTTGGTTAGCTACTGCTGCATGGTAATATGTGCAGCTGAAACATTTGTTAGAATCTAGATTTGGTCCTTTTGCTTTTATAGAATATATAAGATAAATTCAACCAGTGCTATGGAGGTTTTCTTTTAAATTAAAACTCATCTGGTTACAGAACAGTATACAGTGGTGCCTCATACTTTGAGCTTAATTTGTTTCAGGAGGGTGTTTGAACTCTGAATCATTTGAAGTCCGAAGCAATGTTCCGCATTAGAAATTATGGAAAGTGAATTAATCTGTTCCTGGACACTAAACAACACCCATTGTGGCATTCATTGAGAATGATCAAAAAGGCACTGAGAGCGGATCAAAAAAGCACTGACAATGATCAAAGAGGCACTCACTCAATAGGCACTGAGAACGAACTAAAAGGCACTGAAAATGGATCAAAAACCCACTGAAGCATTTTTTCACTGCGCCTGCAGTTCAAACTTAGACGCATCACTCGACCTTTGGAATAACCTTCTCTAGATTTTAGCGTTCAAACTGTGGAACATTTGAACTTAGGGACATTTGAAGTTTGGGGCACCACTGTATATCAAAGAAGTCTTCTATTAGAGTGGTGGATTAAGCATCTGAACATGTAAAGAGTTGAATCTATGCTGAAACTTCCCCTCTGCTCCCTCCCTTTCAGTAAAGCTTCTGATTCCACACTCAGGGTGACTCTTGCTGCTTGAGGAGTCAGGAACACCTGAGACCTTGTAACTGGGCAGCTAGCTTCTCCTGCCATAACCTGACCAGGCCAAGGAGGCAGATTCTCACACTTTGTTTGAGAAACTTCCTTTAGGTAACAGTGAATCAATCAACTCCTCCCCTTGCAGCTTTTCTGCTTCTGCCTCTGAATCTGATTAATCTGAGCAGCCTGTAATAAAAGAAAGATGCCCCGTCCTCTGACAGTGAACCTGTTAGCTACTAGAAACTGGGTGGGGATGAGATCTTGAGTGGTTCTTAGCCTCCCTAAGTCTGCACAAGCATAAATATCATAAATTGTCATACTATACTACTGTTGCTTTTGGAGTTTTTCTAATGAACCATGCAGATGGATGAACCTGGTAAATGGAATTTGGATTTTGAATCCTGGGGCTCTAAATTCCTATTTGTAGGCACTCAAAATTATACAAAGATAATGTCTCAGTTTGTGGGACATAGCCTGTTCCTGATGGGTTATTTAGTTCTTGGTGAGTGCAGTTACCGTTTTGTACATGCAGTCCCCGGCTTGGATGAAAATATTGTGCAAACCCTGCTAGCATGGTTTATTCAAGGGTTAGACAACCTTTGCATAACATTCAATTGATAGTATTGTTTTGTAAGCATTATTTAACTTTGAATAATCAGGTTTGCTCAGTTCACATAACACAACAATCCCTGAGCAGGAGGTAAATATGCAAAATAATGATTGCATGTGCTTCTGGTCCTCACAAGTTAAATGATCCATGGTAGGCTTTTTTGCCACCTGAACCAGCCTTTTTTAAGTTTCTAGATCTGCTTTTTTTGAGTTGTCCTTGTGTGTCTCAAGGACATGGATTGTTAAACAGCAAAGTAGACATTGTACCGCATCACTTTGTTTGAATAAAATATGCCTGAAGATTATTTGTCCTTTATTAATGCCTAGTAACCTAATGCTGTCTTGGAGACATAAAACCTTTTCTTTTGGGTTTTTTTTTTTTTTTGTATGCCCAAAGTTATTTGTTATGCATTTTTGCTAGGATTAGAGTTACATTCCTTCAGCTGTATTTAGTAATGCCTGCAATTTCTTTTGTACTTTGTCACTAAAAATTAAATCCCACACTAACCCCTAATCTGCTGCTCTGATTTGGCTTCTTAAAGTAATCACATTTTAAAGATGTGTTATTCCTTGCTTTTTAAATAGCCACTTTATTTAGTGAAGTCTGATTTGGGTTAAAACAGATTTTGAAAACATTACTACAACTGACTTTTAGGCAATCAAAATGTTAAGTGTGCCCTCTTCCCCCAAAATGTAGATGTACTCATGATCTTGTTTTTGGTGTGGAAATAAGAATCTTCACTTTCATTAAAGAAAGTAGATATGTTGAATCACTGTATTTGTGGAGGTTTTAATCAAAAATGTAGCTGCTGTTTGCCAAAGGCTTCAGTGTTAAGAATAATGCTTAAGTGTAAACTTGCCTTTCTCCTACATCTTTGAGTCATGTATCCCAAAACATACGATCCTCCTGTACCACATGCATCTGTATTTCTTTTTCTTGTACTATTCCTCACTTTTCCCCAAAGATCCAAATATTGTAATCGCTCTAATATCAAGTGAAATAGAGAAGCAATGAAAATTGAATACACCATTTTGAGAATAAATGGGGGAGGATGGTTTGCAGAATTTGAATTTTTAATCAGGAGTCTACTTGGTTAAAGGTGGAAAAGTCATGCTATAGTCCCGTCTTAACTGTGTTGACTTGGAAGTAAGGCCTATTGATTTGAATGGTGAATGGCATCTACTTTTAGAGACATAGAAACAGAGTGAGTCAGAAGGGGCCTCCTGAGCCATCTAGTCTGACCCCCAGTTCCAGCCATCTACACTCATAACATGCCTACCATGTGCATGTCCAGCCTATCCTTAAAAACCTTTACCACTGGGGCTTCAACAACCTCCTGTAGAAGCCCATTCCATACCCTAGGGATCCTAACCGTCAGGAAGTACTTCCTGGCATCCACCCTAAATCTTAGTTCCCTGAGCTTTGCTCCATTGGAAGGGCATGACCCACCTCTGTGTGGCACTCCTCACATACTTTTATGTTGCTTACAGGTCCTCCCTGAGTCTCCTCCTCTCAAGGCTGAAAAGACCCAGCTCCCTCAGTTTCTGCTCATATGGCGTACCCTGCAAACCAGTCACCATCCTAGTGGCCCTTTGCTGCACTGATGCAACCTTGCTATATTCCTCTTGTAATGAGGGGCCCAGAATTTAACACAATACTCCAACTGCAGGTGCACCAAAGTCATACAAAGAGGCAGTAATACCTCTTCTGGCTATGCATCCAAGGGTGACATTTGCCCTCTTGGCTGCCACATCATATTGCTGGCTCCTGTTTAGCCTGTAGTTGACCAGTACCCCAGATTCTTTTCACAAGTGCTGCTCTCCAGCCACTTGTCCCCTAACCTGTACTTATGATGCCCATTCCTCTGCCCCAAGTGCAAGATCTTGCACTTATCTGCATTGAACACCATCCTGTTTTGAATAGACATGCTTAATATTGACTTAATAGAACCTGCTGAGGGACCTGGTTGTGTCACAGACTTTTTGGGGTAGTGCAAGTACGTTTGTTTAAACTCCATTTTCCTGATAATTCCAATGTGAAAACCCCAAGAGTTTTCGTAAGAATACATTTATAAATGTTCAGAAGTTCTATGATAAGAGTAATCCTTTCACTTGGGAATTTGGTGCTCAAAGAAACTACTGTCAAAGCTTTTAACCTTACACTTTTTCTTTTGTCAAATTTCCACAGACCTGACTGGGAAAATTATAAAAGCGATTCTTGATGAAGGATTTGAAATCTCAGCATTGCAAATGGTAATGCTTTATTCTTTGCCCTACACTTGAGTGTGAAACCCATTGCATTTGGTGTGTACAAATGAAAAGGCTTAGGTTGCATGTAGTGTATGTGAAGGAACACATGCTTGCAGAGGAGAGGGAACAGCGTGAGCTTTTCCCTCTTGTACACAATATGCATTCTTGCTGCCTCTGTCCCCGGACCCACACATGCTGGGGATGTCTGTAGTAGATCATAATAGATGGAGGATGACACTAGATCACATCTGATTGCAATAACAGCTCCAATCTGAATTTTCTAAAAGGAATCTCTTAGGCTTATCGTGGTTACTTAGCCTTACCAGTTCTTCATTTGTAAAACAGGAATAATGCCAGTCTGTGTTTCAGAGCTGCCATGAGTCTTGCATAGTATGCAAATATACTGCTATTCTGTATGAATTTATACTGCTCATTTAGTCATTCCTTTCTCTGTTTTATTTATATGATAAGAGCACAGTAGAAATGATAATCAATAAAAAAATAAAAGAGCAAATAACCCTCACTGGAACAGAAATGCATGTTCTACGTAGCTGATTTTGCCCATCTCTCTAATTTGATAAACAACTGAACATGCAGCAATGATAAATGAGATCTTGCTCTCTGGCTACTTTTATTTCTGTCAACTTTGCCAAACAGTGCCTTGTCAGAGATTGAGAGATAATATGAAACCTATTCAGGTTGTGTATGTGTAGAAAGAGGCAAATGTTAAACATAGGTGTAGTTTAAACATGGAATATGTATTTTTAAATGCCATAAATCACCTTTCTGTTCTATAGATACTCCAGAATGACATCTTTCTTTTTTGTTCTTTTTTATTCAGTTCTATATGGATCGTGCAAATGCTGAAGAATTCTATGCAATTTACAAAGGTGTGGTTGCTGAGTATTCTGTAAGTGAACACAATAACTGTTCTCCTTTTGTTCAGTATTTTATAATGTGCTATCCTGAACATTTTTGATATAATAGAGAACAAGAGACAAATTACAGGAAAAATAATGTTATATTTCTGTCTTCCTTTTAACCTGAGCCATGCAGCTAAACCAATAATATTTTTCATTAGCAGGACAAATTGCAGAAGTGATGAAATTAATTTTGGTTTGAAAGGGCAAGATACTTGAAACATGCCTTTTTTCAAACTAGTTGATTGACAGGTTGAAATATGGGAAATGCCACCTTCAGTTCAGTATTGCTGTAGTGCCAGACAGAACCTTTATCTTGCAAGGTTCTCCCTTGTACCTCATGGAGTGATAACATTGTGTTGTGAGGTTCTCAGGTCAGGTGGTAGTCAGGCCTGCATGCAGCAAATGATGGATATTGGTGAAAATGCAGAACTGTCGAGGATTACTTTAGGGATTTTCTTTAAGTGGTAAATTTTGGTGCAAAGATGTATGCAGTGTCCAATAATACATTTCAAAATGTATTTTAATTTTTTTTCTGATTCTAGGAGATGGTTGTGGAACTTTGTTCAGGTCCCTGTATAGCTCTAGAGATAAGACAGTTAGATCCTGCAAAAATATTCAGAGCTTTCTGTGGGCCTTCTGATCCTGTAAGTAACTTAATTTGAATTTGTTAGGGACAAAATAGAAGTGGTATGTGAGAATTGAATTTGGATTACAATGTTATTTTATATTTGACAAAGCTGAGAGGGAGCCTTTACTACCCCTCTCCCTTCGTTTGCCAAGTCTAACTCTCCTCTTTTTCACAAAGCTGCTGTTATTCCCACAGGGGAAACATAATCAAGGAACCTGCCCATTCCCTCAATTCCTTTTCAACTACCATTGCACATAAATTGGGGAGTGCTTCCCTCCTTAAGCTTGAGTATTTTCAGCATTCTTCTTCTAATTTCCTCTTTTCTCTCTCTCTTCTTACCATATTTTTTCCTCACAAACCACGTTTTTTCGCTCTTTCACTAAAATAACCCCTACAAAAATATATTTTTCTTCCTCCTTTCTCTTTACCCTTGTCACATCCCCTACCAAACCACTCCTTACCTGTATTTCCTCTTGCCTTCCCCCTCCACCATGATTGTTTCAACGGTGCCATTTTAAGAATGTATGAGCTGTGTTAGCAGACTCCCCCTCCCAACAGGTAGATGCTCCCTCTGCCTCATAAGCCTGGGCGAGGGGCATGTCATGGAGACCTGCCTGTATTGCCGGGTCTTCACAAAGTGGACCTGCAAGCATCGGGCAGATCAGCTGAAGGCTGAACTATGGAAGAAGGTCTCACAGGCTGCTGAATCCATGAATTGGAAAGAACGAGACCACCCAGCTGCCAGGAGTGCAGCAACAACAGCCATGCTCCCATCTGCCACACTGGAACCGATAGCCAAGCCTGCCTCTCCCAGACTAGGCCGCTTGTCCGATGGTCATGCAGCTAGAAAAGTGGCCAAACATGCCAAGAAAATGCCTACACTGCCAAGGGCAAACATAGCCCTGGTCAACCTTAAACTCAGAGGAAGCACTTGGTACTGTCTCTAGAATGTTCATAAACCTCAATACTAAGAGTGGACCTCTGCCATGATGATACCAGAGGAAGAACAGAGAGATGCCCCAGCCAGGTCTCCTTTCTGTCTGCTGTCTCAGACATTGGTGTTGAGGCTGTCTATAACACCTCCACTCTCGGAGGGGGGTTGCTTAAACCATAGGTAGTTGTTACATGCAGACTCATTCATGGGTTGCTTTGCAGGGTCAGAGGAATCTCATAAAACTGATCAAAACAACAACACACATCTATTCTGCATGCCTGTACTAAAAAGCATGTGCAAAGGCATGTGTGATAGAGGAACACTGTATCTGAAAGGGGTGAGAGGAAAGGAATTCAGGAACTGAAAAAACAACCTGTGGTTTGTGTAATTGTCTGGCAGCTAGATTATGGGTTAGGCAGAATACGGGAACCTGGAGTTTTGAGCCATTCATAATGTGACCTCATTTTATTTTTCACTCTCTAACCCAGGTGTCACAGTTGATGTACCAGCCAAGGTTAGGGCTAATGGCTGGATCGTAGGGGAATGCTTGTGATTTGTGAGGGGTTAGGATTTGTGGTTGAACGTCATCACTTAGATTTGTAACCTTGGGGTATGAATGGGGATGCGCTGTGTGTTTAGGAGATCTGTCATAATGTTTCTTCAGTACTCAGTCTTTATAAAAACTGAATCTTTAGGATTACAGCATGTGGACAACTTTCTTTCATATTTGATGGAGTATGATTTTTGTTGAAGCCAAGTACATTCAATATACAGGATGTTTTGAAACTGGAAATTCACTGTGCTGTTCAACCCACACCCTGTCCCTGCAAAGCATCTCATTTTAAGTGTTCCATTAATTAGATTTTAGATACAGAATCCATACCATTCCCTATACCATGTCTTGGCAAATTAATTTTAATGGAATTTCTAAAATAGAATTGCATTAAAATGGTATTGTCTTATTCAATAAAACGTTTTTCCTTAAACAGTCTTACTTACCAGTTGTTGTGGCCCATCTGGCCAAAAATAAAGTGCTAGAGTGTTCCTATCCTGAAATATGGTTAACGATAATTTATTCATGTTCCAGCAGGCACATGCAACTGATAGTGTCAGCATCCCTGAAGGCATTACTCTTATGTAGATGAAAGTTAACGATTTCTGGAAAAGTGTATTTTCCATACACTTCTACTTTTACATTCATTCTCAGTACATTTATTTGACTTTTAAAAGCCTGACTCCATGTATATTTTTTTCCAGAATAAGTCCTAATACTCTAGAAAAAGCTGCAATCCTATACCCATTTACCTAGGAGTAAGGTCCACTGAAGTTTACTTCTGAGTAGGTAATCTGCATAGGTAATTTGTATAGGATTGTGCCGTGTATATTCATCATAGGACTGTACCGGCTTAAATAGTTTTGTGTAGCATAGTGGCTAACTGTAAACTAGGCAGGGAAAGTTTCTGATTCAAATATCATTTCTGCTGTGAACTCATAACCTTACTTGAGACTGGATCCTATATTTCTCAACTGCAGTGCTCTGCAATAATGAGTTAATAAAACCTACCAGTTTGTTGTGTGTGTGTGTGTGTGTAGAGATAATGTACTCTTGCAACACTTTACAGGTTACTACAAGAATGGCTAAATATTGTAATTGTGTATAGTAAAGCTCACATGTATAAAGATATAATGCATATCTCTTTATGCACTCACATTGAGAATGACCTGGTTGCACAAAATGCCAGGGCCACCATGGGTTACTTAACTCATAGTGAGCCATGGCACTTTCAGCTTTTTGTTGACTCTCATGAAATTCCACCTTTGAGAAACAAAGAATTACTGTTTATAATTGTTATAGTTTAACATGTTAGCATTTTTGAAGGCAAATCAGTTTATGATTCTAATGATTTAGGTGGCCCTTCACATAGTACTAAGTACTGGAAAGAGAAGGAAAAAAAGTTTTTCATTCAGTGAGAAGACCTTTATCAGCCAGAGTAGAAAACAGATCAATATGAGGCTGCAATTAGTATGTCATGCTGTCTGTGCCTGTCTCTAGTGGAAAGGACATTATTGGATTGTTTAAATGCTATTTAGGGACAAATTTGGTCAGTATTCCTTTAAAAATATATAGGCTAGTCATTGTTGATCTCCTAGAAAGTATCACTGTGGAAATTTCACCAGGCTGCTCTATTTGGATAACATGAAAACAGAGGTTCTCAGGATGCTATATTCTACACCCAGTTCCACATTCCGTATTCCCCGATTATTGTGGAATTCACAGAGCCTTGTTGCTAAGGCTTCCTCTTTCCTGGAGGCTCATTTGCTGGAACTGTTTAATTTATTTGATTGATCCCATTTCTGACTACTGTATACATATTTCTGAGCTCTCTATGGATCTTGATCACAATAAGGTTTGGTGGTCTTTTAAAGCACTGATTAAGTAACATCACGGTGTTCACCCTACATGTGGGAAACTGATAATTTAGATTCTATCTGTATACTTTCTAATTCACCAGATTTCTGCTGAAAATGGTAGATAACATTCTCTGCATGCTCTTCTGGTGGACAACTACAGCCAGTTTTCAAGCTTTTTCTTTCTGCCACTAAAGTTGTTCACACAGGGCTTTGTGCAGGTATTGTTTTCTGGGTGGACAGTGCAGAAACATAGCTGTGAATTGCTAGATAGAATAGCTAAGATTCAGAACTGAATTTAATTCAGAACTGAATTAAAAACCAAATCATGAACTGTTCTCAAGAAGTTCTAGTGTTTTGTAGCTATTGTTTTCACTTAATATACAGTGTTTCAAGTTTTATACTTTTAAAAGATTAACATAAGAATAACAATTTTTTTTTTCAAAGGAGTGATTTCTTTTTAATGGCTTAGACCAGCCTTCTGCAATCGGGTACCCTCATGTCTTGGGCTATAACACTCAGCCTTCACCTTTTGCATGGGTAATGACCACTTTTGCTGGGTATGCCAGTAATTGTAGCACAACACATTTTGAAAGCACCAGGATAGGCAGATTTATATAGGATAGATCCACTGGTTTAGGATCAAGAGAAACAAGACTTGCTTTATTGGCAAGAGACATGTTGTAAGAGTACTTTAAAAAGCTAATGCAGGCACATGTATTTATTCAGTACTAGAAGAAACATTTCCTTTAAGAAAAACATTTTTGCAATTGCTGACTGCCAGAGTGGCTGCAATATGGGGTTATTTTACTCTTTGGCTCCATTTTCATAGTTATTTGAATCCGTGATTAAATAAAAACCTGTTCTTTAAAACTCCCAACACACACCCATATTAAATGTTGGTGATTAAATGAACATTTGGTAGATAAATAATTTAGGGTTTGCTCATTGGTCTGTTCAGTGTCCTTCATCTTCTTACTGCAAGACAGCCTGAGCAGAATGTTGATCAGATCCTTTACTTACCAAATTTGGTTTGTTTCTTTGTTTAAAAACAAGCAGACGATATAAATTTCCCCTTCTCTCGCCACTTGGTTGCAAATGTATGGGAAGCCAGCACAAGGAAGAAAAGAGTGATAGTGACATTTTTAGTTGTTTCAGGGTTACAGAGACCCCAACCCTGGATTAGGAGAATGTACTTTCTGACCTGGTACACATGACAGAACAACCCCTCATAGATAAACTAGCCATGATGTGTTGCCAAGTCACCTGAACCCAGACCAATCCCTGAAGGCAGGCTTTTTTTCAGCAACAAGCTACCCTGAGAACCCACAGCTTGTTCTAGAGGTTGTTTGTCCTCAGTGGGTTCTTGTGTTACCTGAACCCAACAAAGCAATTACATTACCCCTTGGTACTGTTTGCAATCTTACTCATGTTGCCACCAGTGACAGCCAATCCACTGGACCCCAAAAAGTACTTTGGGGCAACTATCACTTGTTTGCTATCCTTTTTATTTTTTCCAGTTCCAGAAAATTGTGCAAATGTTTTTATGATTAGTTGAGGCTTTTGCAAGTGCACACTTATGGCTGTCCAATATGAGTAGTCTTGCTTTTTTGAATGCCATTACATGTTTCAGTTTTCAAGGGGAGTGGCAAAATTAAGTGTGCAACAGATTGGTGGGATGAGATGGAAGGTTAGTGGGTGCTGAACCCACAAGTTCCTGTATAATTCTTTTTCTTATGAATGTATGGATATCTTCTATTCTGTGGCAAGACCTCCCTCCAACTTAATTGCAGGAGGCAGTCTCTTATGTTGCCTGTCTTCTTGCATTTGGTACTAAGTGGGAGAAAGCAGCCTGAATAGGATGAGAGGATGTCATATAAATCTGTTCCTGGTACCTTTACTGAAAAGACAAGCCTTGGTTTATTTTGCTACCCCCATCTGAGATGCACTTGGTTGCTTTCCATCACATCAAATTACAGTTCAATTGCTTATGCCAGCCTCTCTTGAAACAAAAACCAAAAGAGGGTTTAAAAAATTCTGTATGGAGCTTGCACCTCTCTGAAACACTTGAGCTGTAAGTGCAATCTCATCCACTGCTGCCAGAAGAATGCAAATTAATTAGTAATGTGAGCCCTCATTTATATGCTATTTTAGAGACATATATAGATTAGCAGGGTTAACAGGCAGTATGAAAAATACCTGCAGCACAATAACTTATTTTATATGGCTCTGTAAGAATGAAAAAGTAGGAGGGATAAATCATTGTTGCTTGGAAAATTCATTCCTTGCACCCTAGCTACTGTGAGGATTGCAGCTAAAATCAGAAGAAACGGAATTCTGGGCCAAGAGGAATGGCAGATGGCAACACTATCCCAGCTATTAAAGGAGTCCTGGTGTTGTATCCCTGTGAGCCATGGATCCACTGCACAGCTGCTCAATTATTTATTTAAATATTTCCATCCCACTTTAAAACCAAAACATCCCACAGCAGCATACAAAAATCAGCAGTTTATGTCCTCAGGCTCACAATCTAAAAAAACTCATGACATAGGGAAGGGATTTAGAGAGATGGGGCAGATGTTGATGGAATTCCCAGATGGATAGGAATATATCAGTTGAACTTAGGTTTGCACTACATCATTTCAGCCTGTCTTATTATCCTTTAGCCCTTTCACCTTCTTGCTTTCTTTCTGCAATTTTTCCTATGAGTTCAAGTCAAATCTGTTTCTTTTCCCTTTTCCTTAGGGCTAGATGTTCCTCAGATGCCCTTCTGGTGGCAGTTAGGAAGAGGAAGGAGCAGCACTGGATGCTAGATGGTGGCAGTTCATTAAGCTGTTTCTGCTTCTTCAGGAGTAGTATACTTATGCCCCAGGCTCAAGTGCTGCTACCCAATAGCATGTGTGTGTGGGGTGGAGACGGGGGGTACTTGCTGGCAAAGTCCAACACTGGCAAGCTCTGTACTAGCTGTGCCCTTGCATTCAACGTCAGCAATTTCTTCCTTTCCTTAATTGCTCTCCCAGCAGCATTTTCTACCACCATTCCCTCTAGGATCACAGCTACTTGATAGGCCCCTTGCTTTTAATTCCAGTGGTCCTTATAATTAATCCACTGATTGCACACCACCATGGTCTACAGTCAACTGAGGCCCATACCACCACGAGGAAAGGCAAATGAAGAAACAAACAAAAAAGATTGGGGCTGGTCTTGTACAAAACATCATCTTTCTCTCATCAATACCTTTGAAATGTGGCAGTCTGTTGAATGCAAAATGTTCAAAGAGATGATGGGTGTTCTGAACAAATTCTACTTCTCTAACTTCATAAAGATGGGGGACAAGATCATGCAGGGATTCCATGAACTAGGATTACTTTGGGCTGCGAGAATCCTGGATTCCTTTCATATGCACAGTTTAGCTCCAGTAGGATGGGGTGAAGTGTTCTACAGCCATGGGCATTTTTATGCTATGGTTCTGCAGGCAGTTGTGTAGGGGAGAGTTATGAAAGTTTATATCGGGGTTTGGGGGCAAAGTCAAGTCAAACTTCTGAGGGTATTGTATGAGTCTACCACGATAGAGAAAATACAGTTTAGGAATCAGTTTAAGATGAAAATTAGGGGCTTTTATCTGGAAAGGGTACGTGAAGAACGCAGGTAAAATTAATATTCTAGGAGAGAAGTATTTTGTTTACTCACTGCTTAATATTAAACTGTGATCAATTTCAGAAGATTTTCAAGTGATAAATATACCAATCACAATCCCATGGCAGCTTTATATCATAATGAAACTTTAGTTTTTAAGGTAGCACAGCACCTATTGTTGACTTTGTGCAATAGACTTATCTGGCTGTCCCTTTCTCAGCTTGCTTCCCTGTTTATGTAAATACATGAGGAAATAATGATAATCAAGGTGCATATACAAATGAGAGCCAACATCAAAAGTGGAAAAGTTCCAAAATCATGTCTTCTTGATGCCTGAACATTAACGCTGATGCATCCCAACATGACTATTTCTAGAAATTTAGGGAGAACTCTCTCAGCTAAGAGGGGATTGGTATGCCTCAAAAAACTGGCATTTTCGTTCATACCTTATGAGAGATTTGAGTGGAACTAGCCAAGTGGCCAGATAAGGTGTTCTAAGCAGATATTCCTAAGGACTAAGTGCCAGTACACTTCCATAACCCAGTTATGCTGACAACAGAAGATTTAGATCAGGGGTCTCAAACTCGTGGCCCGCGGGCCAATTGCCGGGAGGGGCGGGGCACAGGGGAGGGGCCCTGCGGCCTTCAAAGCACCGGCGGCGCCCGGGCCGGCCACGGGATGAGCGGCCCACTACCACCGCGGTGGTGGAATACTTGATGCGGCCCAGCCTCCCCCAGACTCTACTTCCAGCGGCCCCCAGGGAAGTTGAGTTTGAGACCCCTGATTTAGATGATCCTACTCAAGCTGCCTGCAGGTATTAATAGCATAAACTGTTTCAGTGTGTCATGAGGTACATTGCATGAAAAGTATATGTTAGTTTAATTTTCTCAGAATTATTGGTGCCAGGATGTTTTCTTTCATTACATAATACTTTTTGCATATGCAAAAGTCAGAGCAGGAATTTGCATGTTTATTTAGGGTTAATGCTGCTTTTGCTATTGTGCTCACATTAAGAATGCTTTATTATATTAATTATCTCTACCTCTAGCTTTTAAAAATATTTATAAAGAAACGTATTCTTATATTCTGCAGGAAATTGCTCGTTATCTCCGTCCTGGCACGCTCCGTGCTATATATGGTAAAAATAAGATCCAAAATGCTGTTCACTGCACAGATCTTCCAGAGGATGGTCTTTTGGAGGTAAGACTGGAAGATATTTATTTATTTATTTTACACTATTATATATTGTCCATGACTAGTGTCTCAGGATGATACAAGATTTTTTTTAATACAAAAGTGAGCTTATTCATTTTGAGATGTTTTTTGTAGTTATGTGCTCTGACTTATGCTGACCCAATGAATGAAAGCCCTCCAAAATGTCCTGTCCTTGACAGCCCCACTAAGTTCTTCTAGGTGCAAGGCTTCCTTTATGGATTCAATCCACCTCATACTTGGCTTTCTTTTTCTGCTTCTGTCTTCAACTTTCCCTAGCATGGTTAGGGAAGAGTTTGACTCTTCTCCATTGACCCAGCCTTCTCATGATATGTCCAAAGTATGACAGCCTCAGTGTTGTCATTTTTGCTTCTAGGGAAAGCTCTGGCTTGATTTGCTCTATGACATGCTTGTTTATCTTTCTGTTGGTCCAAGGTGATTAAGATAATTAGTACTATTTTTAAGCAAAATCAAATATTCTGTCTCTCTCTCTCTCTCTCAGCATAAGTCATCAGCTGCCTGAGCAGAATATGGAGATCTAGTTTAATTTGCCCCTTGTGTATTTGCTTATACAATGGAAGGAAAAAAGAAATTCTGAATATTAGCAGTAGTTGACTATAGTCTCTAGTGAAATGCTTGAAGGTGTAACATCTCCTTGCTTATGATATTGAAAGACAAGCTTTCATGCTTTCAAATAAATAAATTGAAATAACTATTACATAATCTGATGTACAGATTCTGAGTCTTGCTTGATATTATTAGGACTAATTTCACATTATTATTAGTAGGGGGTTGGCCATGTTTTCTTCCTGTTCAGGTTTTGCAGAACATGACACTTGGGTTGTGGGGATGGGTCATCCTAAGCACAACTCAGAATTCTCTGTATTACTATAAACCTTTCTAACACGACTGTACTTTGTCACAAACAGTCTGAGCCTTTGCTTTCTTCTTCTCAGTAATGTAGGTATTATGCGTTGCTGCCTTGCAGTGATCCACTCACCCCTAGGTGTAGCTTTAATGCCAACAAAGTGTTTTATGTATTGGTTACTTCTCATCTGGCAATTGGACCTTATCCAGCAATAGATCCCTTATCAGTGTCACATTAATACCACAATGAAATACTAAATGCTATCTTTGTGTTCCCTGGCAAGCACAATTTATTACTTCAGACTTTCCTCCTACCTTTGGCTTCAGGCACCATAGCAAATATCACTATTATACTGCTTGTGGACAGTTCTGTCTAAGCAAAATTGCTGGTGCTCTGGGCTTTGCCTGTAATACATTCTTGCTGCTTTTATCCAAGCAAAACAGATAGGGAGAAGTGAGAGGTCTTAAAATGAAAAGACCCACATTTCCTTTTCCTCCTCTCTGTCCCAGTAATGTTCCACAAAATGCTGTGATCATTGTAGTAATCTCTAGAACTGCATTATGAGACATCTCCCACAAGACCTTCAACCAACTCCTACCTTGAGACCATCAGTAAAGTAGACTGGGGGCGGAGAAGTTCACATTGTTATGGGGTTACACCTCAGGTTTGTAAAACTAAACATTACTAGGAGGAAGATAGTTTCCCTAATATTTAGCTCCGGCATTCTCTTGACATTTCTAAAGTTATTGTTCATTTGTTTTTTTTCAGACAGGATGACATGTGACATACTTAAGAAAAATCAACATAGTATTACTATCAGCAAAGTTGATTAACGCACGTCTGAAATGCAAGTGGCTGTAGAATAGTTAGTAGTTCCAGTACATATAAAAGCCAGACAACTAATAAAATTAACATTATATAAGTTCTTGGGAGTAATTATACATATAGTATAGTAGTATAGTTCCAGTAGTGCCTTTTGTAAGTTACAACCTATGTTACATAAATAATTCCTATATATTTTTTATAACTGGTGATCCAGCTGAGGCTGTGGTCTCTGTGGAACAGTGAGATGTGGGCCATTGACTTATTTACACCAGAGTACACTTAGATGCTGTAGAGCCTGATCTGCTTCGTGATATTTTTTCCCCTCTTACTTCTTTCCCTTGAGTTTCCCCTCTTTGTCTCCTTCCTTGCAACATCCTCCCATTTACTAGTAGGACTGTGATGATAACCTTCAGGGAAGGACAGGAGAAAGCACTTGTTGCTTCAACAAACCCAGTAAGCTAGAATTGAGGTAGCAGAAAGGACCAAGACTCACCAGTGGCGGTGACCTGCAATGTCTGTGCAATTTCTGTTTTCTTGCCTGTAGTCAACATGGCCTACACATGCAACAAATGCAAGCTAGTAGTCCTGTTACAAGAAAAGGTGAGAGCACTAGAGCAGTGAGTGCCCACCCTCAAGGTAACACATGTATGTCAGGAAGACCTGTGGATTTGTCAGATATTCTTTCTTCCTAAAGGACAGATTAGTGATATAACCGAAAGATTACCAAGGCTCATAAAGCCCACTGAAATGTATCCCTCCCTTCTTACAAATATTTATTTATTTATTTATTTGGGAAACTTCTATGTCGCCCCATTCGCCGAAGCCTTGGGGCAGCTCACATCAATAAATAAATAATCACAATATAAAAACAATATAATTTGAGTCAACCTGGCCAAGGATATAAAATAAATAAATAATATTAACAATTAAATTAACAGTTAAAATGACATTTAAATAAAAAGGTCTTCGCATAGCGCCGAAAAACAAATAACGACGGCGCCAGGCGGACCTCTCTGGGGAGCGCATTCCATAGATTGGGATAGATATGGGAACAAATGACACTGCTAAGATCTTTGAAGAAATCACACCAGACATTGAAGCTTTAGGAAGAAAAGTCAAGAACTTTGTGGCCCATATATTTTTCTTTTCAATCCTTCCAGTTCTTGGAAGAGGAATAGACAGGGAAAGAAAAATACTCCAGATGAATGCCTGGCTATGAAGGTCATGTTGATGTGAAAGATATGGATTTTGGAACCACAGGCTATACTTCCCGGAAAATGGACTGCTGGCAAAGGGTGGGTTGCACCTTGGAAGGACTAGAAAGAACATATTTGGGCACAGTATGAATAAGTTTATCAGGAGTTCCTTACACTGAATCCTACAGGGGAGGGAGAAGTACACCTGGGTGTAAAAACAGACAAAGGCTTATGCACCACAAGAAATAGAGCAGCTGTAACATTGATAGTCCCAATTATAGTCTCCCAAAAAATGTAGGAAAAAAGTAGAGTATAAAGCACATGGTCCTCAGTATCTATATACCAATGCCTGGCATATGGGAAACAACAGCATGAGCTTGAACTCTTAGTACAGGAGGGTGAATACCACCTAATACAGATAACTGAAACTTGGTGGGATGACTTCCATGACTGGAATTCAGCAATTGAACAATATAACCTGTTGAAGAAGAACAGAAGAGCCAGAAAGGGCCACACTATATGTTAAAGATACGTATCTCTGTACAGAAATACACAGGGGGGGGGGTGAGCTTAGGAGCCCCATAGAGAAAATCTGGATTAATATAAATGGAGCAAGAAATAAAAGGGACACAGTGGTTGGCGTCTATTACCAACCATCCAATCAAGAAGAAGATGAAGATGAAACTTTTCAAAAGTGAATTGCCAATGTTTCAAGGAGGAATGATACCGTCATTATGGGAAACTTCAATTTCCCTGATTTCTCTCAGGAGACAGATTCTGTCAAACCCACCTTTCCAAATGATTCCTAACATGTGTTGTTGATATGTTCTTCCAACAATAAGCGGGAGGAGCAAGAGGAACAGCTGTCCTTGATTTGATCCTAACTGACAGGGAAGACGTAGTGGACAAAGTGGCAGCTATGGAAACTCTGGAGAGTGACCATGTCATACTTGAGGTCTTGATTCTAAAGGAAGCAAAAGCCAAATGTAGCCTTAACATGTACCCTGTACTTTAGGAAAGGCAATTTTACATAAACTCAGAACTGTTTTAAGTAAAGTCCCACGGCAAGTGAGTCTAATGAGAAAAGGGATCCAAGAAAAGGGTGGGAATTTTTTAAAAACTGCAAACAATTCCAACAAGAAAAAATGGGTAGGAGATACCAGAAGAAGCCCACATGGCTTCATAAGAAGTCTAGAGACTATCCAAAAACAAAAAGGACATGTATAGGAAGTGGAGGAAGGCCAGGCTACAAAGGAAGAATATGGGCAGGTACACAGAATCTCAGGTATGGTATCAGGAAGGCTAAAGCCAGGAATGAACTGAGGCCAGCGAGGGATGCTAAAAGCAACAAAAAAGTCTTCTTCAGATTTGTCCAAAGTAAACGGCAGAGGAAAGAAATGGGGGTTCAGCCACTCAGTGTGGATGGCAAAATGATAACACATGGCAAAGAAATGAGATGTGCTCAGTTCCTAGTTTGGCTCACTCTTCTTCCAAAAGATCTATGACTTTCCTACAGGTACAAGTTGAGGGAGCAAAATGGCATCTCAAGATTGAATAGGCAAATACAGCTCTTCAAGGGGAAGAGGGGAAAGGCATATTTTTTCAGGTTACCACAAGCTCATGCATGACCTTAAGCAGCATTTCCTACCCTACATCACTTGGCTTGAGCCTTTGAGTTCCGGTGAGTTACGCATTATTTAATACAGGCTCTGTATATTTCTGTCTGCATCAGTGAGAACTGATTAGACTTTTTTCCAAATAGACCCTAGAATAGGGTGTTTTTCATGCTAAAACTCTTGCTGTACACAATGTGATTCACATTGTACAGTGTGGAATGGAATGCAAATTCCAAAAGTACAAATGTTTAAAAGTATCTGAGTTTAAAGCTGTTCCCATTGTACATTTTCGATATTAAAGTGATAAAGTATGTAAATGAAAAAAACACAATACTCTACGAAATATTAAATGTCTGGAAGCCTCCAGGTTTTAAAACTCTGAACCTCCAGTTATGTCACATTCTAAACTAAGGTATCTTACAGTCCAGTACTATGCATGTCTATTCAGAAGCAAATCTCATTGAATTCAGTGGGGATTACATC